GGGCTGTCCCAGGGCCCCCAGCCAGCCCCAGGCCCCCAGGTGTGGGCAGGACACAGGAAGTTGAGTCTGGTAGGGACCAAATATATTTATTTTTTCTGAGTTGTTGATGGACTTTTATTTTTTTAATTATTTATTGATATATGGTGCTGAGAATCGAACCGGTGCCTCACACACCAGGCAATGCGCTGCCGCTGAGCCCCAGCCCCAGCCCCAGCCAAGAACGCTCAGGTGTCGTGGAGAGAGAAGGATCCTGCCCTCTGGTCTAACTGCCTCTGGTGGGGGGAGGCCACTAGGTCACATGACTCCAAGGAAAAATCTGCCACTCCACAATTACCAGCAAGAGGGACCAGGGGCACCAACAGCAAGGTGCATGGGTCAGAGAAGCCAGAACGGGTGCAGGAGGGTGGCACGGAGTGTGGGGAGGAGGGGGACCAGGCAGGCCGCAGGTGAAGGGAGGCCCTGGTCTCGGGCACAGGGAGCCTCTGGGGGGCCTGGGCGGGGGGAGTGGCAGGATCAGACTTGCATCTTAAAGGTCAGAGTCCCCTTTGACAGTGGCCCATCGCCCAGGTCCTGGTGGACAGTGGCCTGTAGGGAGGCCAGAGGGCAGTGGGGAGCCTCTGAGAGCTGAGCAACAGCCCCGCATCCTGAGGACCCCCAGGAGCCAGCCTGTGCTCAGCACTCAGAGGGCTGCAGGGACGGCCGGGCCCCCGACCCAGCGTGTTCAGTCACCAGAGGCTCACAGGACCCAGGGTCACCAGCTGGCAACCTTGTCTCACCACAGCACCTGGCCAGGAGGCCCCGAGTGGCTTCTGGACAGCCAGCCACCTGGCTCCATCTGCCGGGCCCAGCCAAAGCCCCACCCTCCACTCAGCCTGCCCTGGGTTGAGAGGTAAATTAGAAAGGGCCAGGACTGCTGTTGGGAACAGGGACAGCAGGGGAAGGTGACCTCACAGGGCCAGGGGGAAAGGCCATGACAGCAACATCAGGACATGAGCGCCATGGCGCCAGCTCAGGGTCTGGGGCCGCAGCATGGCCAGGACAGCAAGCCAGGTGCCAGCAGAAGGGCCGGGGCACCTGGTGGAGGTGAGGTTAACGCAGCAGGAGGGGCCTTGGCTTGGAAGGTAGGCCCAGAGGCCAGGGAGGCACCCAGAGACCAGCCTGTGACACCAGACACTAGGGTGGCTGACCTCCGTCCCCACTGGCAAGCAGCACAGGTYGGGTTGGTCCACAGAGGCTGATCCCGTGGAAGGCTGCCCAAGTCCCCGGGCCGGAGGGGAGGGCTGCCTACCTGTGAAGGAGGGTCCCGTCCTGCCGCTTGGGGTGGCTTCCTGGAGCCCAGCCTCAGCTCTCCCAGAAGGTGGATCAGGYGGAATCAGGAAGGCTCCGCCCTCTCCTTCCCTCCCTGCCTCTCCAGCTTCTCCCCGCCACAGTGGCCACCCCGAGCCTGGAGGGTCTGGACTGGGAAACCCCGTGGTAACTAGAGAAGAGAGGAAGGGGCAGACCTGGGCGACGGGCCACTTGCAAAGGGGACTCTGAGCAGTCGACCCCCTGGATCTTGCGAGGGACCTCCCAGCCCCCTGCAGCTCCCAAACACCCACTCTGCTCATGCTCCAGCGTCCGGGGGCAGGGACAGGCGGCCTCTTTCTCTGTGGGAAACTGAGACCTAAGGCCCGTACGTGGGCCTTAATGCTTCTCCTCTGTAAAATGGGTGAACAGAGCCCTCCCAGGGTGGCGATGTGGAGGTGGGGGCCAGCACGGCAGCAGCTGGTGGGTCAGTCAGGCTGCGCCCTGGGGCTGCCTGCTTCCAGGCCTGATGCAGGATGTTCCGCTGTCCACCCTGCCCAGGAGGGACACCCAAAATAAGGCACCACAGCACCCGAACAGGGCAGGCACCTGTGACCCCGAGTGGGGCTGCCTCTGGGGAGTGGGTTCCTGGGCTGGGTTCAGGAAGAGGGTGGGGATATCACCCCTGCCCAGGGGAGCCGGGATCAGGCAGGCCCCCTGACTCGCCGCCCGCGCCCCTCCCAGCATTCCCAGGCCAGCACAGTTCCCATCTGTGAGGCACATCAGTTCCAGCCCTGCCTCCGGTGCCGTCCAGGGCAGTGGGCACTTMAGGGGCTGCTGGAACATAGACATGTCCAGGTCACCTCCCATCCTGGCCAAGCCAGGCCTCGCCGCCTTCTCTGACTGCTTTTGTTAGGGAGGAGGGGTGGACGCTGAGGTCACCCTCTCAAACATCTGGCCAGCAGGTCCTGAGTACCGGGGTGTGGAGGCGGCCTCACCAGCTCTGCCCGCCAGTAGCACCCAGGCTGGACGGAGCTGGGAGGGAGGGGACGTGTATTGATCACCTGTGGATGCAGAGTGGGAGGGCCACTATCTCTGGAGCAGTGTGGCATGGGGTGCAGTGTCTCTGATGGAGGCCAGGTCCTGTCTGCTCTGTCATCCTGCCTTCCATCCAGGTAGATGGTGACACCAGCCTCGTGGGAGGGCCAGGAGGGCTTCCTGCAGGAGGGGCTTCCCTGAGCACTCCTCTGGCATGCCCGGTTCCATCTGCCATGTGCTCCATCCAAGCCCTGGGTTAGGCACTGGGGAGGCCTAGTGTCCACTCTTGGGGACACAGATCAGTAAACAGGTGATTACCCACAGAGCTGGGCCCTCAAATGCCCAGCATGGGGCGCAGCYCTAGCTAAGAGCCTTGGAGCATTTGGGGGCAGCAGGGATGACAGGGCTTCATCAGTTTTGCCTAAGAGTGGCATGTGGCGCAGGGCAGTAAGGGGTGGGGAGCCTGGGGCATGCAGGCCAGTGGGGGGGGCCTGGGAGGGCAGAGGCCAGCCTGCACCAGGGCATGGCAGTGAGGCAGCTGTGTGCAGGGCCTGGCCGAGAAGGGGCTTCCGAGGGCACCTCCAGGTGGGCACGCAGTGTTCCTGCAGCTCCCAGGTGTTGAGTCCCAGGGGCTCCTCTTGTGCCTTTGGCCTTCCTAGTGACCTTCCGGGGGCACTGAATGCAGGTCACCAGGTTCTTGTCCCTGGCTCCGGGCAAGGCCCCTCCCCCAGCTCACTGCCTGCCCCCCTGGGCTGCCGTGAAGGAGGCCTGAGGAGTCAGAGTGCCCTGTGCAGTTCCACCCAGGAAGTTCATGACCACCCAGCTGYTCTTCCCGCCCTTGGTTCTGGATCTAGGCCTCCCTTCCTGGGTCCTGAACTTTTGAGCCCTGCCTGGGGAGGGAGGGACTCAGATGCCACCCAGCCACACCCTCTGACCTTGCCCTGGGTCCCTGAAGCTCCCTGAGGAGGTGTGGGGGACTGAGCATGTGACTGTGAGGACAGGGGATCTACTCTTGGGGAGTGTTGGAAGCTCCCCCATCTTCTACCTGGCACCCAAAAAATGGTGCTGGCCCTTTAACACAGATCAGAGGCTGGCTTTGGGGGGAAACATCCTAGATTTCTGCCATCTGCTTATAAGCCTGGGCCAGGGAGGGGGGTCACCCCAGCCCCCAACAGGGGCATTGGAAGGGCAGGTGGAGCCTGTGGCATTGATTGCAGTAACCTGATCCGCGGGGGAGGCGGTGGCATCRGGCATCGCGTCTTGGCCTGGGGAGGAAGCTGCTGCCGGCTGCGGAGGGCTGGGCTGGGCAGAGCTGGGCTGGGGCCGGTGGGCAGCTGCTGCCTCCCTCCCGTCATCTATTTTTAATGAGCTCCCGGGGCTTCTGCAGCGGCCGGGACKCAGGAAGGCAGGCCCAGGCGGTGGAGGCTGCAGGCCCCGGCCCTGCCTTGAGCCCGGGCCCCCCCACCCTTCTGGGCATGAGAGGGCAGCCCTGGGGCCCCGCAGCCCCCCGGCCGGGCAGGGCTCTCCATGCAGCTGGTGCTGAAGATGGACTCGAGCCCAGACAATGACAGCTGGCTGGAGGATCAGTGGGAGCGCTGGTAGGGGATGGGGGCCGGGAGGGGACTGGGGAGGGACTTGGGRGCAGCTCCTTTGAGCTCAGGGTCCCTGTTTGGTGCGACTGAGGTAAGAGGCAGGGTGTAGACCTCCTACGGTCCTCTGGGCACTGGGCCACCCCCCTCCTGGGTGACCTTGGAGCAGTGAGTTCCCTTGCTCATGCCTCAGTCTCCTGGTCTTCTTTGGGGAAAGGTTCAGACGTTCCCCCCAAACTTCCCAGATGTTCCACTCACCCAGACCAGACAGAGTCCCAGGGCTGGGGGGCAGTGGGGGGCCAGGCAGGTGCTGCGGTGCCTGACCCAGCCCTGCCCTCTGAAGGGGTGCACAGAGCTGTCTTGGGATGTCCTGGGGCTGGTTGGTGTTCCTGTGCCCAGGGCTCTTTCTGGTTTGTCTCCCGAGCTTACGGCACCTCCAGTCCCAGCCCCAGGCCTTTCTCGACTCCACCGCAGGATCCTGGTAGTGGGCAAGAAGATGCCCAGGTTGGAGAAGGCAGCACGAGGACATAGTTTCTCCTGGAATGGGCTCAGTGTCCCCGTGTTGACACCAGATTTCCTCCACCCATTCCTCGGGCTCACAGGCGTGCGTCTTCCTGGGCTGGGGACATGGTGCGCTCCTCTAAGGCTGCTGTGCCCTCTGGCAGCTCCTGGCATCTTGTTCCTGTGACCTGCACAGGGCCCCTACTCCAGGCATCTCTTGGAGTCTCTTCTTGACTCTGCATTCTCCCTGGGTGAACTGGCCTTGGCACCTGCCTTGACCTGGGAGGCCAAGTTCTGGCCAGCTGGGCCTTCTAGGCACTGTCTCCTGGTTGGCAACAGGATGGGCAGCTCCCAGCCAGGTTGGGGTAACCCCGAGCCCCTTCCTCCTGTGCCACCCTAGGAGACTGCCTTTCAGCTTGAGCCCCACCTTCTTTCCCTGCCTACCYACTAGACTGGTGCCGATGGACCCACTCCCATCCTTGGGGGGCTGTGACCTTCCAGAGGCTGCCCCTTGGACAAGGTAATAGGGCGAGGCCAGGAGACCTAGCAGTTCCCTGAGTTGTGACTCTGGCTTCTTGTCCCCACCAGGCTCACCCATGACATCAGCCTGGAGGAGTTTGAGGATGAAGACCTTTCAGAGATCACTGATGAGTGTGGCATCAGCCTGCAGTGCAAAGACACCCTGTCGTTACGGGTAAGGGCCCAAATGGGGTAGCAGGATGGGTAGGGACGGGAGCGAGGGCACCCCATAGCTGTGAAGGTGCTTTCAGGTCTGCACGGCAGCCTTGGAGAGAAGCAGCAGGAATATTAGCTAATGCTTGGCACGTCTTGGGTGGTCAATCAGTATTTTCAAAAAAAAATTAATGTATTCCTTTATTTGCCAGGGCTGAGGCAGACAGTAGCTTCTTCAGGTGTCCTCAGGAAGACAGGGCAGGAGGTCTTGAGATCTAGGGCAGTGGCCTGAGGGCCAGAGTTAAGGGAAGGCCCTTTGAGGAGTGGCCCTGGCAGAGGGCCTGCGGCAGCACAGGGTGGAGTCCGGTGGAATCTGCAGTGCTCTGGGAGAGGACAAAACAGCCAAGGCACTGCTAGCCAACTCCCATGGCTGCCGGCCACCACTGCACCAGACCCGCCACACCACGCGCCTCCTGGGCCTTCTCTGTCCCCACTGAAGGGCTGGTCCAGCACTGCTGCTACTGAGTCCCTTGGCTTTGCCATAGAGAGATGGCTCTCTCTTCTCCCTAAAGAGCTCAGTGCTGCCAGGTTCTCAGCCTGATCAGATGGGCATCCCCACTATGTCTTTTCAGAACAGAAAGATGGGGCAGCTAGCCAGGAAGTGAAAGGCAGAGTACAGGGCTAGGTTTTATTTCATTTTATTTTTTGGTAACTGGGATTGAACCCAGGGGCACCTAATATTGCCCAGTCCTTTTTTATATTTTATTGAGAGACAGGGTCGTGCCGAGTTGCTTAGGGTCTTGYTAATTGCCGAGGCTGGCTTTGAACCCACCATCCTCCTGCCTCAGCCTCCCAAACCACGGGGATTACAGGCSTGTGTCACCACGTTCAGCCAGGGCTAGGTTTTAAAGCACTTCTCTGCCCCAGGAGGGTGGGTGGCAAGACGTGGTGTTGGGAGAATTGCAGTGTGAGCTGGGGAGGGGGTGACTGAATCTGTGTTAACTTCCTGCTACCCCCAGAGCTTCTGTAAGCTCTGCCAGGCAAGAGCAAACCAAGGGCTGAAGATAACGTTCCAGTTTCCATAACCCAACTCTCCACCCTCTGGCCAGGCCAGAAGGGGAAGGAGGCAGGAGCCAAGCACTCTGGACGCGGGGAGTGGTCCCAGGGCTCTGGCATGGCTTCTACACCTGCTCTGGATTCTGACACCATCCCCTCCCGCAACGTGCACAAGCAGGGCCCSGAGACCCCGAGGCAGCACTAGCCTTAGACAGGCTCTGGGGGCTTTCACACTGCAGGGTCCTCACCTCTCTGGGAAGCGGGGGCGTGGTAGTGAGGAATGGAAGGGTCAGGGGCTCTGTCCAAGGTGCCAGGAAGTTGGTAGCTGAGCTGGGACAAGCCTGGGGTTCGGGCCATCAAGGCAGGGTTGGAGGGGCCTGGGCCCCGGGCCTGGGAGAGAAGACGTAGGGCGGGGGATGCCATCTCCCGAGTTCCAGGTGCCGCCTGCGTGCCCCGCCCCCGCGTCCCTTTTCGGGTCGCGGCGGGTTCCCCAGTCGCACTGCGGCCCTCCCGCAGTCTTCCTCTCCCAGAGGAAGGCTCAGCTTTCCCAGTTTCCTCACGACCCTCTTCAGATACTGACTCCCCCGCTCCACGACCAATTCCTGGCGGGCCGGAACTACTTGGCGACCCCTGAGTTCCCATGGCAACAGTGGTGATTTCACTCTGGGCTCGGCTTACAACCCGGGTGAGGTCACCGGCCGTTGCCAAGGGAACGGGAGGGTGCCTGGAGTCGGAAGGGGGTGGCCCGTGGGGAGTGGAGAGGTGCGGACCAAGGCGCCCCCTGGAGTGGGAGGAGGACGCCTGCGCTTCCTCGCAGGCGGCGGGCGGGAGCGGCCCTCTCTGCCCAGCACCCGCCTTTCTCCCTCGGATCCCCCCTCGCGCCCGCGGAATGGACTCGCCCGGCGTGGAGGGCGGGGCGCTGCGGCCTCGGCCCCGCCCTCCCTGGCGCGACGCCGCCCCCTGACGCCCCTCCGTCCCCGCCGCGCAGCCCCCGCGCGCCGGGCTGCTGTCTGCGGGCGGCGGCAACGCGGGGAGCCGGCTGCAGGCCGAGATGCTGCAAATGGACCTGATCGACGCTGCGGGGGACACTCCTGGCGCGGAGGACGACGAGGAGGAGGACGACGAGGATCGCGCGGCGCGGCGGCCGGGAGCGGGGCTGCCCGAGGCCGATTCCGGCCAGGAGCCAGCGCCCCGCGGCCAGGGCCAGAGCCAAGGCCCGGGCAGCGGGGACACGTACCGGCCCAAGCGGCCCACCACGCTCAACCTCTTTCCGCAGGTGCCGCGATCTCAGGTGAGGCGCCAGCCGGGGACTGGGGACTGGMGGGGTGGGGGGTGAAGGGGGCGGTGCCCTGGGGCCGTCCTGGAAGGTGCGGGGCGCTGAGGGCCTCCGCGGCCCAGGTCCGGCCTGCGGAGCCCAGAGCAAGGTGGGCTGCAGCGGGAGGGCAGGAACGGGTGCTCCGAGGGGCGGGGAGGTCTGCCCTAAGGGACAGGGTTGAGGCCACCCACTGGGCGTGGAGCCTTGAGAAAGGGTGGAAGGATTGGAGTAAAGAGAGAGGTAGTGGGTTAAGAGACCAGGGCTTTGAGGGTGTGGAAGGAGTTTGAGACCACTGGCCATGATGGGGTTTCCATTTAGATTATGGGGCTTCTGGTGACGATGGGGCAGAAACAGGACCTGGAGGAAAGGAGTCTGAAATGGTGTGCCTGAGGGGAGGTCAAGGGAACTTGTGGCAAGGTGTGGAGGTGGCGGCAGCCAATTTGAAATCTGGGCAGTTGGGAATCTCAGAAGGCTGGGGAGAGTAATGAGGGATGGAGCTGCTTGGCTGAGTTGGGGGCCTAGGCCCCTGGCGCGTGGCTGGACGCCAAGGAGAGTTGAATAGGGTGGGGAGAGCTGGCTGTGGCCCTTTGTCTTCAGGCCTCGCCAAGAGCTGGGAAGTGGGCTGCTGGTRCATGGTGCAGGGGCTGCAGGAAAGGGTTGGTCCCTTTCCCAGCATCCTCTGGCATGGCTTTTGGCAGCTCAGCTCGTGAATGTGCAGGCTTTGGAGAGTGTTCTCTGGGAGGGAGCCCAGGTTGTATGTGGGAGCTTCGTATGTGGGCACTGTGGAAGGTCCCAAGGGGCTGAGAGTGTGGACAGGCAGGCAGGAGATTCAGGAGGGAGGCTGGTGACATCTTCATCTGTCATTCCTCAGTCCTGTGCAGCTGTGGGGAGGGGCCAGGTTATGGAGTCATCGTTCAGATGTTCAGACTCGTTCCAGTCCCCCAGGCCAACTGCTGGGGAGACCCTTCTTTGTGCTTTTTTCAGGTGCTACCAGAATGCCCCTAGCCCTTCCTAGGCCATAGATTCCTGAGTCCCAGGGCAGGGCATCACCTGGTCCTCCACTAGGGCTGGATTTGTGTCTTACATGTAACCCCTTCACGTCCAGAATGTGGAGCTGAATGTCTCTAGGGAGCCCCTTCTTGTCCCCCTTAGCCTCCCCTACTCACCCACACACTAGCCATTGCCACTTTGCTGAGGCTGATGGGGGCACCTCCCTGGGGGCTGGCCAGCATTCCTGAGCCAAGAGGGAAGGCCCTCTAGTGCCAACAGGCCTGGTGGGCAGGACTGTTCCTTGCACCCTCTTGCCTGCTCCAGAGGAGGGTTGGGAGAGAGGCCTTGGCAAGGGGAAGCTGATGGGTGCAGCACACAGCCTGGGGATGGCCTGATGGGGGCAGGGCCAGGGCCTCCCTGTGCCGGGCACTGCTGACTGCTTCTTCACAAGGGCCTTTTGTTCCCTGCACAGGACACACTGAATAATAATTCTCTTGGCAAAAAGCACAGTTGGCAGGATCGGGTGTCTCGATCATCCTCACCCCTAAAGACAGGTGAGTTGAGACCTTCTCCATGAGCTGGGCCTCAGCCTGCCCTGACTCAGTCTCTGCTGCTGAGAGCAGACCCAGCGGTCTCCACCTTCCAAGTGGAGGTCAACTGCCCACCTAGTACACTCTACAAGCCCAGCTGGGAGCTGAGGTCAGCTGTGACATGAGCAAGTCWACTGGCCCCAGAGTCTTCGAGGGGCCTAGTGCCTGGGGAGGCTTTGTCTCAGTCTCTGTGTGGACCAGCTGGTGCAGAGGGAGCAGGTAGCCGGGGTCCTGCCCTCAGCACCAACCTGCCTGCCCTCCAGGGGAACAGACACCGCCACACGAACACATCTGCCTGAGCGATGAGCTGCCGCCTCAGGGCAGCCCTGCCCCCACCAAGGATCGAGGCACCTCCACTGACAGCCCTTGTCGCCGCAGTGCTGCCACCCAGATGGCACCTCCAGGTGGACCCCCTGCTGCCGCTCCTGGTGGCCTGGGCCACTCCCATCGAGACCGGATCCACTACCAGGCAGACGTGCGGCTAGAGGCCACTGAGGAGATCTACCTGACACCCGTGCAGCGGCCTCCAGACCCTGCAGAGCCCACCTCTGCCTTCCTGCCGCCCACGGAGAGCCGGATGTCCGTCAGCTCRGATCCAGACCCTGCTGCCTACCCTTCCGCTGCAGGGCGGCCACACCCCTCCATCAGTGAAGAGGATGAGGGCTTTGACTGCCTATCATCCCCAGAGCGGGCCGAGCCACCAGGCGGAGGATGGCGGGGGAGCCTAGGGGAGCCCCCGCCACCTCCTAGGGCCTCGCTGAGCTCCGACACCAGCGCTCTGTCCTACGACTCGGTCAAGTACACACTGGTGGTGGACGAGCATGCGCAGCTGGAGCTGGTGAGCCTGAGGCCATGCTTTGGAGACTACAGTGACGAGAGCGACTCAGCCACCGTCTATGACAACTGTGCCTCCGCCTCCTCACCCTATGAGTCGGCCATTGGGGAGGAATATGAGGAGGCCCCCCGGCCTCGGCCCTCCACCTGCCTCTCAGAGGACTCCACACCTGATGAACCTGATGTCCACTTCTCCAAGAAGTTCCTGAACGTCTTCATGAGCGGCCGCTCTCGCTCCTCCAGTGAGTGAGCAGGGGAGCTGCGGGGCAGCCGGGTGGGGAGAGCCAAGACCCGGCATCCTGGTTTGACTAAGAGCACAGAACTCTGCCTGCCCTCCTAAGCCTCAGCCTGAGCTGGGCCACCCTCCTCCAGCCTGTCCCCTCCCCACAGGTGCAGAGTCCTTTGGCCTGTTCTCCTGTGTCATCAATGGGGAGGAGCAGGAGCAAACCCACCGGGCCATATTCAGGTGAGGGCTGTACCCCTCCCTGCCTCTGCCCTCACCACGCAGCCCAACCCAAACCCTTGCAGTTGACATCTACTAAGCCTCAGGGGTCAGAGTCCAGCTTCTAGGAACTCAGAGCATGGCGACCAAGCACTGAGGTGCCACGAGGAAGCCAGGACTTGTATACCTACCCTGGCTGGGACAGGGTGTCCTGGAGGGAGACCAGAAGGATGACCCTCATCCATTCTCCAGCCCCCTCCAGGCCCAGTGCTCCCCCCATGACCTCAGGACCTCTGCGTCCCTCCTGTCCTGGCCCCTGGCTTCCTAGATGGAAGATGTGGGTATGACTGGTGCTAGTTCCCCAGGAGCCCGGGCTGTGACAGGCGTACATGATACTTTGCAAATGTTTATTGAACTAAAGATGCCACTGGCTGGAAAGGTCCTCTGAGGAATTCCTCACATGCCCTTGTTGGGGACAGGTTTGTGCCTCGACATGAAGACGAACTTGAGCTAGAGGTGGACGACCCTCTGCTGGTGGAGCTGCAGGCTGAGGACTATTGGTACGAGGCCTACAACATGCGCACTGGTGCCCGAGGYGTCTTTCCTGCCTACTACGCCATTGAGGTCACCAAGGAGCCTGAGCACATGGCAGGTAGTCTCCCTCTTTCACCTGGTGCCACCAGCCCTGGCATCTGCCTGCCGGCCTTGCTGCCAGGTGAACGTGTGCCCCAGATCTCAGGCAGCCAGGGAAGGGAGAGCCAGTGATTTCAGGTCTATCTCCTAATGCAGAGTGAGGCCCAGCCAGGTTGGAACTTCTGGGGATTGTGGCACCCCCTGCTRGCCATGTCACTCCCTACGCCTCCCCCTCCCTGTGCTGGGCTGCCAAGCCCACTCCTGCTCACTTCACATTTGCTTTCCAGCCCTGGCCAAAAACAGCGACTGGGTGGACCAGTTCCGGGTGAAGTTCCTGGGCTCAGTCCAGGTTCCCTATCACAAGGGCAACGACGTCCTGTGCGCTGCTATGCAAAAGGTACCTGGATCCGGCTTCCTTTGTGGGTGCCACCTTCAGCCCAGTGCACAGTTGTCTCTTGGGGAAAAGGGCACAGGGGTCTAGAGACCCTGGGACAGGAGAGACTGGTTGGGGGGGACAGATAGCACCTGACGTGTCCCTGTCCCTCACCCAGATTGCCACCACCCGCCGGCTCACCGTGCACTTTAACCCGCCTTCCAGCTGCGTCCTTGAGATCAGCGTTAGGGGTGTGAAGATAGGTGTCAAGGCCGATGACTCCCAGGAGGCCAAGGTGACAACTCTGAGCTGGCCCTTCCTTCCTCAAGCCAATAGCCCTCCCACTAAATTTGCCATGACAAATTTGCCCCTGCGGCCTCTCTCTTCCTCCTGTAGGTGAATAAGTGTAGCCACTTTTTCCAGCTGAAGAACATCTCTTTCTGTGGCTACCACCCAAAGAACAACAAGTGAGTGGGGGCAGAGGCAGAGGTGGGTGTCGGGGAGGCTCGGAGCCACGCTGGTGTGGGGAGTGAGCTCCGCACTCCTGGACCCCTCTTCCACAGGTACTTCGGGTTCATCACCAAGCACCCTGCCGACCACCGGTTTGCCTGCCATGTCTTTGTGTCTGAAGACTCCACCAAAGCCCTGGCAGAGTCCGTGGGGTACGTGTGTCTCCTGCCAGTTCCCACCAAGGGGCAGGCCCTGGTTGCAGGCCTGGGATCTGGTCCCCCACGCTGTCTCCCCTCAGTGTGCCCTGCGGCTTTGGAAACCCATCTCTAGACCCTAGTGTGGTGGCCTGGAGGGAGGGCTGGGTGGTCCGGGTGGTTTCCAAGCTGTCAGTTGCTGGGCCCTTCCTTCAATGCCAAATTACTCAGGAAGCCAGTTCCACAGAGGACAGAGCTCTGGGGCTCCCACCCGACATCCCCTACAACCCCGGGTGGGGGTCTTGTGGCCCCGGGGAGGCTGCCTAGTGACCCGCGGACCTCCTCCTAGGCGAGCCTTCCAGCAGTTCTACAAGCAGTTCGTGGAGTACACCTGCCCCACGGAGGACATCTACCTGGAGTAGCAGCGCCGCCCTGCCCTCCGCATCCCCTGGGCCCTCAGGCCAGGACAGCTCGCTGCTGACAGGACATGGCACTGCTCAGGAGGAGGATGGCCACCAGAGGACGGGAGAGTGGGGCTCTTGGCCCGGGTGGGGGGGCGGGGTTATAGGGAGAGGCAGATGCAGTTTATTGTAATATATGGGATTAGATTCATCTGTGGAGGTCAGCSGCCGCTGGGGACTGGGAGGGGCAGGGCAGGGCTGGGCGTCCGGCCTCCGGTGTGAAGGGTGTACCTTCTGGGAGCAGAGGCTCTGCCCCCGCCTGGGCCGTACTTCCTCTGCCAGGGGCTCTGGCTCTCTGGCTCTTGGCTTCTGCCTTYGTGAAGCCCACGCCACCTGCAGATGCCACCTTCCCCCTGACCCAAACCCCACGAGGGCCCTGAGCCTGGCCGAGCCCCGCCACCTCCCAAGGACTCTCTAGTAAGGAAATGGCAGCAGGTGGAGGTGAAGTCCCTTTTCCCAGCCATCGTGGGGCCTTTGGTGGCTTCCACCTCCACCTCACTAGCACACTGGCCCCTGGCAGGCTCGGGAGCTCCCAGGGCAGCAGCAGCCTCCAGCAGGCCCTGCCCAGCAGGGGCAGCCTCCCAATGCCCGGGCCAGTTTGTCATGGTCTTGTCACCCTGGCCATAACAATTAAAGTGCCATTTCCTGTCTGGACCACAGTGGCTGTATCTTCGCGCACCGCTCCCCGGCATCCCTTTGCACGCGGCAGGAAAGCCGAGCCTCGGCTGCACAGAATMTCTTTATGCGGGCTTCCCGTCACAGGTGTGCATCGTAGTAATACTCAGCCATGTCTGGCCCGTCCCGCTTGCGCTGCTGGGCCTGGGAGAGGAGGGGCCGAGGCCCTCGTGGCCAGGGGTGCTTGGGTCGGACCCCATAGTCTAAGGAGAGAAGAGGGAAGGAATGGGGGGAGGAGCCGCTGTGTGGTCAGCTGAAACAGGGCTGCCCGGGGCGAGGCGGCCCTGGGGGCCTTCTCTTGGGCACCTCCCCTGGGGACCAGGGGCKGGCAGGGGAGGGAGGAGGAGGACTACCATCCATCAGTCCCGAAAGTGGCTGCGAGAGTTCCAGCGGGGCGGAGAACTCCTCAGGAACAGACCGCTGAGACCTGTGGGAGATTTGGGGGTGCTCAGCCTGACCCCAAAGGCTTTGCCACCTCCCTGTGAATGGGAGATGGCCCGGAGTGAKGCAGTTGGCAAGCCCCCGAGCCCAGGACAACAGGGCCAGCCTGTCCTCTGGGAGGGCAGGGGCAGCACACCCTCCGGGTGCTGGGGCCTGGCCTTACCTCAGGGGCTGGGGGCGAAGGAGAGCCGCCGCCAGGATGAGGTACAAGAGGAAGAGACTGAGCCCAGCCCTGGGGTACAGAGCCCCCATCATGGCGAGAACCATCTCCTACACAGGCCCTGGTCAGGCTTTTGCCCACCCCTCCCCCAGGGCGGAATCTGTTGCCAGCTCCCAGGGCCACCTCACAAAGGACAATAGTTCCGGGGCTCAGCGTCAGCACTTGCTTTGAGGCATGGCCAGAAGCTTCCACCCTGAGGCACGTTTAGTTTTACCGACCCTGTGGGCCAACAGGTCCCAAACCCGATCTAGTTTAAGTGCCCAAGGGGAGCAGGCCACCCCGACAAGACAAGTCACTTATCTGTGCCTTAGTTTCCCCTCCCGTGAAGCGCTCATGGTCCAGCAGACAGCATCACCCACAGAGGTTACTGCAGGCTCACTGACCAGAGTGTGACCAGGCCCCCAGCCTCCCCACCTGCGCCCCCACCATCCCCACCTCCCCTGCTGGCACGTCAGCCCTGGGAAGGTCGGGCTGGCTGAAGGAGCCAGAGGGGGCCACTCAGCCCTAATGGCCCGGAGTCCTTGGGGTGAGGGGCAGCAGCTCGCACAGCACTTCCTACATTGCTTCCTGTGGCATAAACACATCAGGGGACTCCACAGACACTGGCCTTAGCATTGGATATAGGGTTTCCAAGAGGGGACAAAGCTTTGGACCTGTTCCCTAGAGTACTAGCTGCAGGAGAGCAGGGACAGGCTCACTGTGGAATCCCCAGCTCCTGATGCCTAGTAGGTGTTCAGCTGAGAATCTGAGTGGACAGTTGTGTCATGAGAGAATAGCAGACACCGAATGCCTTTGCAGGCTGGAGGCAGAGTAGTGGCCACCACAGCAAGGTCCTCTCTGCTTCCTGATGCCTTGACCAGAGTGCCTGGCCCCACATCCCTGTGAGGGGCCTGGGTAGCTCCTGTGGCCGCCAGGTGCCACACCCTCTCCCCCACTCCCTGCAGTGGTGGTGCCCAAACCAGAGGGCTGGGCCTCGGGGCCAGGAGCTTGGGAACCTGGCTGCTCCTGAGACAACAGTCCTGTCAGCTGGCCAGCCCCCTTCTTAACTGCGGAGATACCCAAGGACCAGAAAGGGATGTCCCTTGTTTCCAACCCTGACTCCTGGTCCCAAGTATCCCCCTGAGGCAGACAAGTGCTGGGGTTCCAGCACCTCACCCCCAGGCCCTGAGCCACAACTTCCTAGTGGCCACCTCCCTGTTGTAGAGACAACATCTCTTCCACAGAACTGTGTCGCATGCCCTATCCCCAGCAAGGTGCTAGGGACCTGGAATCCCACTTACTCCGCCAGCTCGAGCCTCTCCTTTGTCATGCTCCTCCCTTCCTACCTACAACGGCCCCCAAGGCCTTCTGGAGCTGCACCTCGTCCCCCACCCCTGCCCCAGGGTCAAGGCTCCTCTTATCCCGCCCTCCAGCCCTTTCAAACACACCCCTTCCCCACACCCAGGCCTGTGGTTTGGACCTTCCCTCCAGCCTTGTGCTACCTGGTCCTGCCCACTCCACCCTTCTGCCCTGTGACAATAGTGCTTCACACTGTTCCACATCACTGTGACACCACACAGGTCATCTTCTACACATGGCCTCATCTTCCCAGACTGCCTGTCAAAAAACAGATGAACACGGGCTGGGAGAGTAGCTTGGATACTGGGCTTGACCCCCGGCACCAAACAGGGAACAAGTAAACCAAACCCAGAGCAACAGAACTGGGGCCGGCGTAACAGTGCGCAGCTTTTTTAAGGCACTGCTCACAGCCAGTCACCACTGGATACCAGCTACAGCGCTGCCACCCCCTGCTGGTACACTTCCATTTGTCACAAGGACCCTAGTGTGGCACATGCACACTACACACATCTGCTTTACTACTGTGGGCACTGGAAGTGGGACCCTGGCTCTATGCAACTCTGACCACACCGTGCGGCGCACAGCCTGGGATGGAACCGGTGCCAGGAACACTTGTTGGACTAGCTGAAGGTCACGAGGACAAACTGCCCTCTTCCCTGCCCAAGGCCTGGGCATCAATGCCCCAGCATGGGGCCCAGGGTGCTTCTCACAAGGACTTGGGGAGAGCCATGTCGGGGTGAGGCTGCCCCTCCCAGGGCCCTTCACCAGCCAGGGCAGCCCCAGGAGGCGAGCTAACTGCATGGTGTAGGCGGAACCTCCAGACCTAAGGGCTGGAGAGGATCAGGAGCACCAGGAACAGGAGAGTCAGGCCCCGCCCGCTCCACAACAGCCTGCAGGGCCCCATGCAGACTTGGTCACCTCGGAGCCCACCTCAGCTCACACCCCTGAACTGGCCTGGCTTTCCTCAGAGCCCCAGGCTCCTCTCTCCCCTCACCCAGCCCAGGACTGCCTGGTGCCTGCCCTCTCCCCGGTGGGGGAACGGCTTTGACTCTCAACTGGAGAGCTGGGGTCTGCACAGCATTTTCATCCCATCCAACAGCTGTCACAGGAGTCTGGAAGCGCTGTGGCCAAGAGCACAGGACCCTGCAGGGGAAGGACAAATGGAGGCCATGGCCACACAGCAGAGTGGGCAGTTGTCATCCATTGCACGATTGGTTTGGCGGCTCTGTCTTCTCCGGGACCAGTGAGCAGTTACTCCCACAGCTGCCGAGGCACGCAGCTGCCCAGCTCCAGAAGGCGAAGTGCAACTCTCTGTGGCTAGAGGAACCAGGACCCCAGGCCCAGCGGGTGCGAGCCGCAGGGTTCCATCACAGGAGGGTGCCGCCAGTCAAGGTTCTCCGAGGGACAGCATCAGTGGTGACCAGGGCTGTACAGAGCCTGGCCAGAGCAGGGGAGGTGTCAAGCAGTGGGCAGGGAGAAGCCACATGCTTGGACGGTGCCAGAGTCAATTTTATTAGGGAAGAGGGACGGAGGTGGGGGGACTGAAGGCTGAGGCGGCCCTGTCCCGGTGGCAGAGCATGTCATCCTGCTCCCCCCGCATCCCAATCCCAAGATGTCTGTCAGCCCCAACTGTAGAAGTAAATTTTCTGCCAAGTAGGCAAGTAGTCCATGAGCGGCCCTGCAATGAGAGGGGCCGGGTCAGCGCAGGGCCTGGGACGCCCCGCTCCGCACAGGCCTTCCTCAGCCCCTACCACGCACCTGTCACTGCCAGCAGCCGCCCCTGAAGCCCCCTCCAGCCCCAGGGTGGCAGCATTAGCAGGGATCTCTGTCCCCATTTACAGACAAGGACCCTTAGGCTCAGGGCAGCCAAATGCCTCAGCCATTCATAGGCGCTGACAGGACTGGGTGGAGCCACGCTGCCCTCCCTGAGGTGGGATGTCCAGAGGGAGGACCCCCCCCCCAGTCCTCCTTCTCTAGAATGCTMAGACGGGGAAGGCTGGCAGCACGATGTGGCCTGGCTATCTCCCACCAAGGGCACCCTCTGCCAYCAGCAACTGTCACCCACCCAATCTTGCCTTTGGGCTCCCTCTCTAGGATGTGCCAAGGATCAAATTACAGAGAAAAAGAGCAAACAGGGAGATGGGGCCGCATGTGTCCCTTGCTCCAGAGCCACAGAGTGGCTGCCACACTTACTCGCAACCAGGCCGACACCGGGCACGTGGTCTGCCAGCAGCTGCAGCAGGAAAAGGATTTTGGCCCTGGACAGAGAAACAGGGAGAGGCTAAGTAGGGGTGCGGCACCCCTCGAAAGCCTTCACTGACTCCTGGACAACAGGGCCCCCGGAAGACRGGAGCCGGCAGGACCCAGGACGAACGGAGAGGTGCTGCGTTGGCCCTGGTCTCTGTCCTCGCCCGCCCCGTTCTCCTGGAAGCCCATGTTGGCGGTCGGTGCACATGGCCCCCCAGACGCCCTCCTCCGGCTCCTCCTTTCCCTTTTCGCCCCTCCTTTCTACTGATATTCAACAACAGTGGTCTCCAGAGCCCGCAGCAGGGCACGGGCAGTATGCGGCAAGCCCCCAGGGAGAGGATGCCCCCGTCCCCAGCAGCCCCCATCTATCAGAAGAGCTGAGCCACACAGAAATCTCACAAGCCAACACTGAGCAGGCAGGGCCCCGGGAGGGGACACAGTGCTGAAAAGGGCATACTCTGGCCTGTTTTCCAAGAGATAAAAAGGGGAACTTGACACAAGAGGACGATGATGTCCAAGATAACACTAAGAAACGATGAGGGCGGGTGCGTGCGGGCGGGCTGTGGCTCACTGGTCGGGTACAGCCCTAGCCCTGGATGAGTCCCAGCACCAGAGGAAGTGGGAAGTATAAGGCCATAACATCTGTCAAATGCTTCTGACATACCTGACACGACCATGACCCTATGTATTGAGTCATATGGCCCCTCAGCAGCCTTGGGAGGTGGGGACTGTCATCATCTCCAATTTATAAATGAGGAAACATGGCACAGACAAGTCAAGGAAGTGGCTCAAGGCCACAGAACCAGGAGGCAGGTCCGCTCCAGAAACTGCTGGACAAAGGGGCACTAAGACCGCCCCGTGTGGACTGCGTCCCAGGGCCCGCTGGGCTCCTGCTCCCTATCCCAGGGAAACAAGAAGTTTCTGTGGCAGATTCATAGACACGTCTCAGTCAGGCCATTGCTCTGGTGGGTCGTAGGCTGCTTGGGTTAGGAGGAGAGTGAGCCACAGAGAAGGGCTCACAGYTCCAGGAGCCACCTCTGCAGTCACTGTCTCAGAATTCCTCAGTACAGGCATCGGGGAGGGTCACATTAGTATCTTCCTGTGTATGGAAGAGGATTTTGCTTTAGCCCCTACAAATTTTAAAATTTATCTGAAAACAGTGAGGCAATATTAAATGTGACGTAAGTTTGTTCTCTATTGTCTCAGGAAAAAACAGGGTTTGGATGGTCACAATATGATTATTTTTGTGGTACCAGGGATTTAGCCCAGGGGTACTCTACACTGAGTCACATCCCAGCCCTTTTTATTTTTATTTTTAAAATTTTGAGTCAGAGTCTCACTAAGTTGCTGAGGCAGGCCTTAAACTTTCAATTCCCCTGCCTCAGCCTCCCTAGTTGCTAGGATTACGGGTGTGGGCCACAGCACACGGCCACCTGGTGCGTGTCTTTCAGTCCCAGTCCTCTCTGAACCTCAAGTGCCT